CTTGGTTGACCACGAACTTATACTGCGCAGCTGCTTGGTGCACCTGGCGCTGCTCCCACTCGAAGTGGGCCTGACGCCGGTCTGCCTCGATGCGCTCGCGATGCGCCGCCATTTGCAGCTCGTGCTGATGTAGGGCATGCTCACGCGCGTGTACGTGATCGGCCCACCCTTGGTCCTGCGCCTGCACAGGCGCCGCGTAGACGTGATGATGGAATGACGTATTTTGTGACAGTGCGACACGTTGTCCACCGTGAATTACACCCATCCGCGACTGTCGACCGTGGTAGGCTGGCACTTGACCCGTTTGTCGGGTTATTGTCGTCGTCATTACGTGGTAGTTAGGCGCGACGATCTACATAACCACCGACGAGCCACTATCCACCCGCGACGCCTGTCGCGCTTGTGGGTGGTAGGAGTGCGCTGGGAGACCACCGTAGGCCGCGCCTGGTGGGTATCCTTGTTGTTGCCCGCACGTCTCCGGAATGTGTGGTAATGCCTGCATACGGGGGAGGCTCGCCATCGGTTCCGTTGCAGCTTCTGGCTGCGGGGTCTCGGCCGCCGCCGACGCGCAGTAGAAGCCATCGTCGAGGGTGCGGTCAGACAACGATCCTTGTTGTGGGTCGTATGTCGTCGGGGGTGCTAGGGCACGCGGGATGGCGGGCTCGGGCTCTATGGTGCTTGCAAGCTTGAGTTCCTTTAGTCAAATGAGACTAATAATTTATTGTTGTGTCTGCCGGTCCTGAACTGGAAGTGACTCCTTTAGACCTCGATGCACCGGGTTCAAAGGTAAAAGAAGACTGACAATGTTAAAGGTCTTAGATCTACTGCTTCCTTGCGGTGTTGCACGAAGTTGTTTGCATACTCGTTTAGTGCCTCAATCTTGTTCAGCGCTGGGTTGCGTAACTTTCTTCCCGTACCACTTCAAATGGTGTTAACCCCGTTGACGCTTGAAGTTGGCCTTGATGTGCATATTCGATGGTTCCAAAATGTTCTGATCAGTCGTGACCCAAGTATGAGACTTGACATCTCAAAGCATCTTCGAGGGTCCGATTTTGTCGTTCGGCTCCACCACTTTGGGCTCGACCCAACGTCGTCATGCAATGCTTGACGCCCATGATCTTCATCAACGCTTGCCAAAATTCACTCATGAACTTGGAAGCTCGGTCGCTGATGACATCTGCTGGAATACCATGGTGTCGCACTACTGCATCGAAGAATTCCTTTTCTGCTTGGAGAGCATCGACGTTCGACGTTGTCGCACAGTATGCATGGCGCTTTGATGTTTTGTCAACGCACGTCATGATCGCATCCTTTCCGTTCGAGACTGGTAAACCCGTGATCCAGTCCATCGAAACTGTGTGCCAACCTTCCTCAGGCGATTCGATTGGAATCATTCTTCCATTCGCCTTGGCGCTACTTGACTTGTATCGCGCACAAGTTTCATACACCGCAACATAGAGTTTCACGTCTTCTTCAAGACCGCTCCAATTATACCATTGTGCAATGTCCAATTGAGTTCGCCGTACGCCGGGATGAGCCGTGGTGCTTGTGTCATGACTCTGCGAAATAATCTCGCTCTTGAGGTAGTCGTCGTTTGGAATGCACAACTTCCACACTTGATCCTTCGACTTCACGAAGAAGAGACCATCCTTCTTCTCGAACTCCTTCGTCTTGGCGTATGCTCGCACAAGGCGTTGCTTCAAGTTATCGTCCATCTTGATCGATGAATACAAAAATATCTCCGCGTGGTTGATGACAAGTTGATGCGGAACTTCAAATTCGACATTCGTCACATCCACCTCCCCCCCCCCGAGAAGGCAAGTTCATCATCAATTCCAAAGTGCGAATGTTCAAACACATGATGTCATGCACTCGATCGCTCCATCGGTTAACACAACGATAACGATCGTAACACGTAGTGTCACACTCATGCACAGCGCAGGTACTCGCTTGCATGATATTGCGCGGTGGACGCGACAATGCATCCGCAACAACATTTGTTTTGCCAGGACGATGGTGCAACGTGAAGTCAAACCTGCTGAAGAAATCCAACCAGCGTGTTAACTTAGCTGTTAAAACTGGAGTCTTCAAAAACCACTGGCAAGTCGCGTTGTCCGTGAAGACATCAAAATGTGACCCATAGACGTAGTGTCTCCACTTAGCTAGTGCTAACTTGATCGCATACAATTCTTTCTCATGCGATGACCAATTGCACTCGATGTCACTTAGCTTCTTCGACAAAAATGCATCCGGTCGGTCTTCTTTGTTTGCATCCAGTTGCGATACCACCGCTCCACAACAATAGCCCGAGGCGTCCGTTGTGATCAGAAATGGCTGGTCAAAGTCCGGTAACTGCAACACTTTAGCTTTGTCGCAACGCAGCCTTGACGACCAAAAACTCCTTGTTGTGTTGATCCGTCCATTCCCATGGAACCTTGTCCTTCACGAGCTCGCTGATCGGTAGTATCAACTTGGCATAGTTCGCAATGAACTTGCGGTAGTACCCCGCCATGCCAAGGAAACTTAAGAGCTCCTTGCGATTAGTAGGCGCTGCCCACTCTTCGATCGCTCGAACCTTGCTCGAATCGACTTACAATCCATCACCAGAGATGGTGTGCCCCAGGAAGTTCACTTTATCGACTGCAAACACGCACTTGTCGATTCGCGCATACAACTTTTCCTTGCACAAGACTTCCAGGACAACTCGCACATGTTCGACGTGTTCGTCCATGGTCTTCGAGTAGACACAAATGTCATCCAGGTAGACAACAACGGATGGAAACTTGTCGAACAATGATCGCATCAGTCGCGACCATATCCCCGGCATACCCGCCATACCCATCGGCGCAACACACCATTGCAAGAGTTCCTTGTGCGTTCGAAATGCCGTGTACTTGCGAGCATGTGGGAGCACAAGCATTTGATGGTACCCCGATGCAAGATCAAGCTTCGAGAATATCTTGCATCCATGCATCTTGTTGAAGATGTCCTCAATGTTGGGTAGAGGTATCTTGGGGATTTCAGACTGGGAGTTGACATGTCGGTAATCGAGCACCCATCGAATTGGAGTGTTCGCGGTTGCTGTCTTCAACCACACGTGACGAGATGGCATTTTTCCGTTCTCATCCTTCTTTGGCACTCCAAAGATGTTCGACACCCAATCGCTCGTTGACAACTCAACCCATCCTTTGGCTTTGAGCTTGTTGACAAACTTGTCCAACGACTCTTGCTCCACTTTCGCCAGTCGAAATGGTGCACGATGCTGTGGCTTCGCATCTGGCTTCATCGTGACGTCAAACTGAACCGCTCGTTCCGGTGGCAGTTCATCCGGTAGTTCCTCCGGTAAGACGTCCTTGAACTCATCGAGAAGAGTCTGGATCTCTGCTGGTCGTTGCTGTGTTTGTGCTTGGACTTCACAAACCTTGACCATCCATCCAGTCCACTCCGTCGACATCGCATTGGCTTCCACTTCTTCCTCGATCGAAGTGATTTCACTCTTACGCCAATCGATAACTGGATTGTGCTTCGCAAACCAAGGTACACCCAGGATAACGTCAGAGTTCTTGTCTTTCAAGTCCCACTCTGTCATTACTGTGTCCTTAAATGAGAACTTGTCGACCTTGATCGTTTCTATGACTTCTCGCGTATTCGTCATAGGTGATCACACGTTGTCATACGCAGCATTACACACTGACTTGTTGCGAATGACGTTGGTTCCCAACCCAACACGACAAAGTGAATGCGTCGCTCCAGAATCTAACAACACTTTCACAGATTTGCCATTCATTACACCAGACTTAATCATCAACGCTGTTGACTTCTTTCCAGCTTCGGGTTTCACTTGAACAACCGTTCCCACAGTCCCCTTGTCGTCGTTCACTTCCTTGACGACTCCAAACGAGATACACTCAACATCATCGTTCGACACTTGCTCCTGGACTTCGAGGTTGTTCTCGTGGCTGGGCGGTGCCTGCCTTGATATCTTCTTGGGCTTCCGACATTCTGTCGCGATATGCCCCAATTTCTGATAGTTGTAACAGCGAATCTTGCTGCTGTCCTTCCTCCGACTACCTTGCATCTTAACACTGTCCACTTCCATGTCTGTGGACACTTGCGACTCCAAACGCGGTACATGTCCTTCGCGCTGGCCGCTTCCATACTCCGTCCGATTCCATCGGTTCGGCTTGTCGGGACGCTTCATCGACGAGAGTGAAACAGAATGCGCACGTGCATACTCCAACGCCGCCTTTATCGCTTCAGACAAGGTCTTGCTTTGACAGTACTTCTCTTCGTCGCGGGTCTTCAATTTTAACCCTCGAATGAAGAACGTCACCTTGTCCAGCTTTGACATCTTCTGCACATGCGTGCAAACACGACGGAACTTCTCGATATACTCGACTAAGTCCTTGCACCCCTTTTGCTGCAACGCAAACAGACAGTCACGTAGCCGCTCTTGTAGATCAGTCGGTTTGAACTCTTCACGCAAACCGTGTTCAAACTCCGCGAGTGTCGTAAACCCATGACCTTCCGACGCTAGCTCTTGATACCATGCAGCTGCTTGCCCTTGGAGGTTCGCAACAACCATCGCTAGACAGCGTGCTTCAACCGCTTCGTCGGTTTCGTACTTCAAGTTCTTCGCCACAAAGAACGTCTTGGCTCGGTGGATGTACATCCCGATGCTCTCGTTCAAATGCCCATAGTACGCTGGCATTGAGAGTCCCTCAACATGCCGTTCAGTGTCACGTAGTTAGCTACTACCCTGATCGCCGTTACTAGACACAAATTGAAGTAGCGCTGCTGTATGTCCTGCTGCGCCTTCAGGTGATTCTCCTGTTGCGCTTGTTGATTGGCCAACATTTGCGCTTGTGTTTGGGCTCGAGCCTCCAGGTGTTGTTGGATCATCCGTTATTGATGCTCCATACTCCCCACCAACCTCGCAAACACTTCCTCCATGATTTCGATTGGACAAAGGTTTTATTAAAGGCTGGCTAAGTAATCAACTAAGTCTTCTTTAGTGTCGGTTTCTTCGCTTCGATCTTCGGTCTCGCCAACAAATGCGCGTCAATCGCTTCGGTTACGTATCCGGACGACAAACTCAAAGTTGCTTGGACCTTGGTAAGTTCGTCGAGAGCGTACTTAGTACGGTTGCTATTTAAGCCGCTGTTCACGCTTCGCAGGTCTCGCTGAAAACGCTCGTTCACTCGTTCCACTGTTCGGATCTTCTCAATCAGACTCTTTCTAATTACGTCCAAGTTCTCAACGTCACTCTGTTCGAGATAGTGGATGGCGTTAAATGAGACTAACTCCCTTTGACTCGACGCCTTGCGCTTGAGGATGCTCTGGTCCCGCTGGATAACCTTGCTACTCGCCGCTGCCGCTCGCTCCGCTTTGCTGAATTCCTTCTTTTCGCGTGCCTTATTCTTGCCCATGCACGGGTTTCGTTGGCACTTAATCTTCACACGCACCAAATGTCCTTTTCCTAACGGTCGACTCTACCCCTACCAACTCTGATGTCGAATACTAAGGAGAGTACTGTCGAAGGAAAAGAAACACTTAGGCGATCTCCAACTCGACACTAGTCGCTATGAAAGCTCGCCGTTGAACCTTTGCCTGAAGTAGTTTGAGTAACCTTACAACCTCCGAGCTATGCCTCTTGGTGTAAATCCTTGCTGCCGAACTGAACTAGACGACAGTAGCGGATGTTTGGCAGGGAGGCTGCTCTTATTAAACAATATGTGATGCACCAAAGTGGCTAAGCACAGCGTCAAAACACCACGGAGCTCTCAATGCTTCCAGAGACGTGGGAAGACAAGAGTACATGCAACGTCAACAGCAACATCGCTGCACGTACAAAATTAAGTTACAAAACGGCAAAGTCACCACTTCTAAGTGGAAGTCTTGCCACTACTGGGCCCACGTAATAATCTCCGGCACCATCGTAATGCGCGTAGCGTTTAACGCCGCTGCCGATGGACCACCCGCACCGGATGCACACATTAACGATAGAGGGCCCGGACGTACTTCCACCGATGGCAAACGTTGCAGCACCCTTTCTGAGTGAATGCGTAACGACATATTTAGACGCGGCAGGGAGTGCAACGCCCACAAGCTGAGTCAGACTGCGGTCGAAGCGGTCACTGCCATGCCCCGGGAAAGAAATTTTCCTGAATCGATTGCTGGGCTGCAGGCAAGATAGATGGCCAGGGCGAGGATACAACACGTCTCAGGCTGCATAGGGTTGGCGTACACGTGCTTTGGATGGCATCGCTTTGTGCCGCCCTGATCCGTCTTGGACTTGAAGAATGTAACTCCAAGTGCATCTCTCTCGTCGGACAAATGGTCGATCCGCAGCGTTGACGTCGATTTGAACGGCACATCAAGTTCCAAGACAATATGAGAAACAGCTGGGTGAAGCCCCCGTCAAGTTTCGTCAAACTCGTCTTGCATAGTTATTGATATTGGTGGTGCCTGAGTTGCTGCTTGGTTTGATTGCGCCGGCCTGAATCTCGCTTGCACAAAGACGCCGAATCCCTATATGATAGTTGTTTGCATCTTCTACCACAGTTACCGTAAATACCTTGGAGTAGATGGCAGTAGCATTAGTGGTGAAACCAGCCGGAAGAGCCACGATCTGCGTGGTGTAGTAGTCCTTAAGCGATGAGCGGTATCCTGATAGAGTCGAGAGGGACACACCTACGTTCATGTATTTGTAGAGAACGAACTCGGTAAAGTCACCGCAGCCAAAGACGGCGAGGTTGATGGAGCCGTCTGGTTTGACCATGGCTGAGCGGTCGGTCGGATGATTGGAGCCAGTTGCCGCTGCGATATCCCTTTTTGGAGCTCCCCGCGAGGCGATTGTCTCTAAGGTCCTGCCTGTACTGTCGTTGCTAGCTGGTGGGTGGCGGACAAAACTTCATTATATCGTTCACATGCCATGGTAAAATAGCATCTAAAACGGTGTTTTTATTTCTATTTCAATTCGAAGTTACGGATATAGAATAGACACTACTCTGGAGTATTGCACTATCCGGAGGGTTTGTTGCTATTTCACACGAAAATAGAAATTCTGCGGGACGTAATTTCCAAAAAGTCCGGAAAATGTAAAAATAGCAACCGTAAAAACGAAGTTTGACTTTAACCTGTGCTTTACTAGTACATGTTACTGTAGAAATAGGTTAGAATTTACCGTTGGTGAAGCTCTAACCAATCAATCGATACAGGACATTCGGTCCGACTTTCTTCTGTCAATATCTCACGTCTGATTTTGACATCGGTTTTGTATATAATAAGTATTACAACGAAGAAGAAAGTCGGACAAACGGTCCGACGATCACTTGATTCCTGTATATCGTGTCCGACTATTTTCCATGACATACAGGTATCATTTGATACCTGTATGAATTCATGGCCTGAACCCTAACATTTGTGTTTAAAAGTACTTCTATGTTCGAAGTGTATAAATCTTTATAATATGGAAATCGTATATTGTTGAAATAGGTTGAAACATTCG